TTCATGCAAGAACTGTATTGTTTTTAATTTCTTTGGGAAGGGGTTCTTTTCTAAACCTTTTCCTTTACAGGATGCCAATTCTTCCTAGCAATCTTTTCCAAATTGGTACACTAATCAAGAAAGACTATGAACATCCGTTTGACTATGTCAACAAAATTCAATTCTATTGTGCCCACATGAGCAATGTCTTAGGAGACAAGCACTATAATCTTCCTGATCATGTTTCTGCTATGATTATTCACTGTCTTCCAGATGAACCCCCATATCTTGCTGTTAAATCAAAGTTCTCTGATTTCTATTTACCAGGGAACATTCCAAACTACTCTAAATACAAAAAATTTCTATGGACAGTGGTACCCTGATTACAGATACTTGATTTCTTACCTTGTTAAAGTTGAGAAAGATTATTGTCAGCACTTAAACATTCCATATCCCAAATACTACTATAATATTTCGGCAGGGAATAATTCCCCTTTCATTGGTCATCAGTCAGGATGTTCTTCTCCTACTCAGGGTAATCAAGCAGGGACAAGTGGAGGGCAAGAAGATGGAGAAATGATGGATGAGAGTAACCAGACTGTTGAAAGTTCCATTATGGAAATTCCAAATCCAAATCCAAATCCAAATCCACCTCCAACTCCAATTATAATTGATATTTCATCTAACAATGAGGAAGATGAAGAGTTTGTCCAAGTAGAGCAAGAACCAGAGTCACTTGAACCAATGGAGGAAGAGGATGACCCTGAATTCGATCTTGGAAGCTACAAACAATCTCCCTACAGGAAGGATAAAGTTTGAAAGGACTAGATTTTTGTAGTTTCATTTCTTCTAGGATTCTTAGATTCATTTCCGCATTTTAATTATTTCAGTTCCAGTAAAGTAATAAATGGCATGTCCACAGTGAGCCAGTAAACTTATGTAGTTGCATAAGTTATTTAAATTCATTTTATTTCAGTATTCTATTTATTTTCTTATCATCAAAAAAATTTCATTTATTTCCTTGTCAATTAATTCATTTTATTAACAAATCATTAATTTCGTTCTCAAATCATTCATTTCTTATCACTACTCCAAGAAGCCATTTCTTACTCAAAAATATTCCAATAATTTATTTCTAAACTCTGGGAATCCATGGGAATTATTTTTATTTATTAATGTGATACTTTATTAAATGTGTGGTTGGTTAGCAATCAATATTTGGTTGACAAGCTGCAAATTTTGGGAATCTTAAATCCCAATTTGTGCGCTTGAAATTTAATTTGTATGTGTCAAGGGTGTGAGTTAGTTGGATGAGTGTCTAATTTGAGAGCTAGCCAAGACAGTTTTTAATAAAGACCCCTTTGTTTTAATTCAGGCAAAGAAATATGGCAAGAGGGAGTGGTAACAACAACGATGGAGGAGAGTTGAGTGAAGTTGTGAGGCAGTTGGCAGCTGTTACCCAACAATTAGCAAGAAACTCAGCCAATAATGTAGATGCTCAGAGAGAGCTATTTAAGAAGGTGGCGCAGAGCAAGCCACTGACCTATTAAGGAGAGCCTGATCCAACTGTACTGGAAAACTGGTTGAGGGAGTTTGAGAAACTGTTCGGGGTAGTAGGGTGTCCAGAGAACTCAAAAGTAGGTTGTGCTACCTATTACCTTAGGGGTGAAGCTAACCTTTGGAGGCAGCAAAATAAGGCTACCATTAAGGCATTACCTGGATTTAATTGGACTATGTTTCAAGAGAAAATTAGGGACAAGTTTTACCCTAGCTTCTTACAGAAACAAAAGGCTGAGGAATTTTCTAATCTTGCTATGGGGAATATGTCATTTACCGAATACTACACCAAGTTTATTGAACTATCACGATTTTCTAAGGAGTCCGTTTCTACAGAAAAGTCTAAGGCAAGGAAGTTTGAGAGTGGTCTGACTACTGATTTGCAGTTAAAGCTGTAGGGTCTAGTATTTGAAACCTTAGATGAAGTGTATGGGAGAGCTGCACACCTATATGCCTTAGAATTAAAGAAAAGGAAAGAGCTAGCTAAGATAGAAAGACAAGAAAAGAGAAAAGAGGTGGGACATAATTCTGAAAACCCGCAAGGTAACCAGAACAACTTTAAAAAGCAAAAGTACCACCATAATAACAACAACTTCAACAACAACAATAATTTCCATGGCAACAATCGCCAAGGTGGGCGGAACTTTAATGGTGGAGCTAGGAACTCTAGCCAGGGAAATAACAGGGGAGCAAGGCATTTCTATTGTAAGAGGTGTAAGAACGACCATCCTGGAAAGGATTGTGATAGGAATTTGGTTACTTGTCGTGCGTGCAACAGGCTAGGACACAGGGAGTATGAATGTTTCTCTAAGGACCCCAATAGAAACAGGCAGGGAAATAATCAAGGTGGGGCTCAAAGGAACTTTCAGGGAAGTAACAACTATTCTGGGAACAAGGGGGAACAACAGAATGCGGCGAAAACCAACAATAATAATGGAAACAACCAACAGAAAGGTGGAGCTACAGGAAAGTTGAATGTTATGAGTAGGCATGAGGCTGATTCCACGAAAGATGTCATCACTGGTAACTTTTCTATTAACTCTATTCCTATTAAAGTCTTGTTTGATTCTGGTGCAACTTTTTCTTTCATTTCAAAGATCATTGTTTCAAAATTATCAAACTGTTTGAAAATCGCAGATAAGGTAGTTTTGCCTATAGTTATTCCTATGGGTGGGGTAGTAAAGTGTAATAAAATCTTTAAATATGTACCTTTGGAAATCGAAGGGAAAGTGTTTTTGTTGGATCTCATTGAGTTTGGATTGAGTGACTTCGATGTCATTTTGGGAATGGATTGGTTGAGCAAGTACAGTGCAGAGATTAGTTGTAGATCACAGAAATAAAAATGACTACAACTGATAATGAGTCGGCGACATATTGGATGCATGGTGAAACTAAGTGCCCAAGGATCATATCTGTGTTAAAGTTGGCAAAGTATTTTAAGAAGAGACATCCAATGTATTTTTATAGTGTGAGGAATATGGAACACGAGTAGACAACTAAGCCTGAGGATATAGAAGTAGTGAATGAGTTTCTGGATGTGTTTTCAAAAGAGATTCCTGGAATGCCACCCAAAAGGGCAATTGATTTCACAATAGAGCTAGTTCCAAGAACATCACCAATTTCCAAGGCACCATATTGAATGGCACCTGCAGAGATGAGTGAGTTAAAGGAGCAATTGCAGGATTTATTAGAAAAGGGTTATATAAGACCAAGTGCATCACCTTGGGGAGCGCCAGTGTTATTTGTGAAGAAGAAGGATGGAAGTATGAGGTTATGTATTGAGTGTAAGGAGTTAAATAAGGTCACCATAAAGAACAAGTACCCATTACCAAGGATTGATGACCTATTTGACCAATTGAGAGGCGCGACTGTGTTTTCTAAGATTGATTTAAGGTCTGGATACCATCAACTTAGGATTGCAGATGAAGATATTCCCAAGACTGCATTTAGAACAAGATATGGACATTTTGAGTTCAAAGTAATGCCTTTTGGATTGACGAATGCTCCAACGATTTTTATGGACTTGATGAATAGGGTGTTTCATCCATTTATGGACAAGTTTGTGGTAGTGTTCATAGATGATATACTGGTGTATTCGAAGAGTAAAGAAGAACATGTAGAACATTTAAGGGCAATTCTGCAAACACTAAGGGAAAACAAGCTTTACGCAAAGTTCTCTAAGTGTGAGTTTTGGTTGGAGAAAGTGGCATTTCTAAGTCATTTTGTGTCCAAAGATGGGGTAGAAGTAGATCCAGCAAATATTGAGGCAGTGAAAGGTTGGCCTACGCCAAAAACGGTGTCTGACTTAGAAGTTTCTTAAGTTTAGCAGGGTATTATAGGCGTTTTGTGAAAGATTTTTCGAAGATTGCTAAACCTATGACCTCTCTAATGAAGAAGGACAAGAAGTTTGAATGGGATGACAAGTGTGAGGAAGCATTCCAAATCTTCAAACAAAAGTTAATTACACCGCCAGTGCTTACACTACCAGACGATAATGGAGTTTATAATGTATATAGTGACGCATCCAAGAATGATCTAGGATGTGTACTTATGCAAAAGGGGAAGGTGATTGCGTATGCATCAAGACAATTAAAGACTCATGAAGTAAATTACCCTACTCATGACTCAGAACTAGCTGCAATCATTTTTGCGCTACAGATTTGGAGGCATTACTTGTATGGAGTGAAATGTAGGATTTACACAGACCATAAGAGTTTCAAATACATTTTCACTTAAAAGGGATTTAAAATCATGCCAAAGGAGATGGTTAGAGTATACGACGGATTATGACTTAGACATACGATATCATGACGGGAAAGCAAATGTAGTCGCAGATGCTCTAAGTCGTAAAACCAGTCATGGACTAAATACTTTGATAGTGGTCGATGAGTTATGTAGAGAGATGAGGAAAATGAATCTTAAAGTGGTAGAATGGGGAGTGCCATCAGGCATACTTGCGAATCTAAGTATTCAACCAACAATATTTGATGAGATAAGGGAAAATCAAGCAGGAGATGTAAAGTTGGATAGGATTCGTGAGAAAATAAAGCAAGGAAAATCTACGGATTTCAAGATTCATGAAGATGGGAGTTAAGGTACAAAGGCCGTTAGTGTGTACCACAAAAATGTGAGGAGGTAAAAAGAAAGTTGGTGGAAGAGGGTCACAATACCCATACTAAGTACAACCAGGAAGGGACAAGCTATATAAAGATTTGAAAAAGGTGTATTGGTGGCCCAGAATGAAGAATGTAGTTGCGAAATTTGTGGAAAAGTGTCTAACTTGCCAAAAAGTGAAGATAGAACACAAAAGACCGCAAGGAACAGTGCAATCATTGGAAATTCCTATATGAAAATGGGATTGTATTTCAATGGACTTTGTGACTTGCCTCCCAAAGTCAAAGAGTGAAAACGACATCATTTGGGTAGTGGTGGGTAGACTTACAAAATTTGCGGTGTTTATACCAATGAAGGGGACCTGGAAAATGGAACAACTTGCAAAAGCTTACATCAAAAATGTGGTGAGGTTACATGGAGTTCCAAAAGATATTGTGTCGGATAGAGATTCTAAGTTTCTTTCAAGGTTGTTGAAGAGTGTGCAGGAAAACTTTGGTACAACACTTAAGATGAGTACAGCTTTTCACCCTGCCACAGATGAGCAAACTGAGAGAACCATTTAAACCTAGGAAGACATGTTGAGGGCTTGTGTTATAGATTTCCAAGATGGATAGGAAGATAGCTTGGACTTAATTGAATTTTTCCTATAATAATAGCTACCATGCAAGCATTGGCATGACTCCATTTAAGGCATTATATGGAAGGAAGTGTCGCAGTCCAATCTGTTGGAACGACATAAGTGAAACAATGATTTTAGGGCCTCAAATGATTGAGGATACAGTTAAGAAGGTGAGGGAGATTGAAGCTAAGATCCAAGCGGCGCAAGATCGCCAAAAGAGCTATGCGGATTTGAAGCGTAGAGAGGAGGAATTTGAGGTTGGTGACAAAGTATTGTTAAAGGTGTCACCAATGAAAGGTGTAATGAGTTTGGAAAGAAAGGAAAGCTTAGCCCAAAGTATATTGGTCCATATGAAGTATTGCAAAGCATAGGCAAATTAGCTTATAAGTTGGCCTTACCTATGGAGCTAAGTAAAGTGCATGATGTATTTCATGTATCTCAGCTAAGAAGGTATATCCCAGATAAATCACATGTGCTACAACCTGAAGCTATTAAGTTAGATCAAAGCTTAACTTATGAGGAAAGACCTGTCAAGATCCTTGATAGTAAAGTGCATAGTACACGCAATAAGAAAGTTAAGATTGTTAAAGTGTTATGGTCTAACCAAAAGTATGAGGAAGCATCTTGGGAAGCTGGGGATGAGATGAGAAAGAAATACCCTAAGTTGTTTAAGGTATGGTGAGTTACGGGGACGTAACTCGTTTCTTTTAAGGGGGGTAGAATGTGGTAGAATTTCGCGCTTATTCCCTATATTTTTAGTTATTTTTGTGCTTTTTGCACATTTTTTATGGTTATTTCGATTAATTTTGATCTCAAAGAGGTGTTAAAAGCAAAAGTATGACAAAAGAGTACAACAATATTATACAAAGTGAGAAAAAAGTTTGATTTTTATTGCCCAAGTTTCGGGACGAAAATTCTTTTAAAGGGGGTAGAATGTAATAGCCCATACTTTTTTACGTATTTTAGTTTAAATAAGTATTTCTTAAAGTATTTAAATAATTCGAAATGAATTATTTATGATTTTTATTAATTTAAAAAGAATTATTTAATTAAAAAAATTTATTTTTAATTATTTAATAATCTCAAAAATATTTTATTTTATGATTTGGAACTATTGGGGCATATTATTTTATAAGAAGATTATTTTTTTAAAGTCAATGGTATTTAAGGAAAGTCAAAATACTAGTTTGATTAGGAAAGAGATCATTATTTTAAGTAGGAGGGTTATTGAGAGAGGGTATAAATACCCATCATATGCCTAAGGTGGAGTCCACCCAAAGGTAAACTCTCTCTATCTCCTCTTATTTTCTTTTCCCCTTAATTTTTCCCCTTCCCCTTTAATTTATTTGAGCTTCAATCACCACCCACATACCACCACACGCTGCCGCCCACTACCACAAGCTACCGGACCACCGCCGCAACCACTAGCAGGCGCCTGCGATAACAATGGCACCACCAGCAGGCACGGCAGCAGCCGGCTGTGGTGTCGGTGCTGCGGTTTTTCGAAAAAGTAAAAAATTAATTATTCTTTTTGTTTTAATTTAATCTAGCCTTAATCTAATTATTGTTTTTGGGTTTTGGGATGATTTTATGATGGATGAAAATAAGTATTTTGTATATAAATTTTCAAATTTGGTTTTGAATTAAAAAGCCCCAAATTGAAAACCCTAGGTTTCTAAATTAATGTTTATTGATGGAATTTGATTGTGGTTGATTAAAACTATTGAAATTAATGTTTTAAACTAAATTACAGCAATTTTATAAGTATTAATAATGTTGGAATTTTTATATACAAGCTATAATTATGTTTGTTGAAAGGATTTTTAATTACCCATTAATTGGGAATAAAAGTAAGGGTTTTAAATTAAATTTCAGCTTGTCTTAGAGGCTTTATGAGTGATTTAAAGAGTGTATATATTGTTGGAAATTTGTGTGGAAGATGTATTAATACTTCTTTGTAATTTTGGTTTGTAGGAGACTTTCAATTGAGTGATTTTATTTAGTCGTGGCAATTTTGAGATCATATTCAAGGTACGTTCGCGTACTTAGTAATTATTTGAATATGTAGAAGCATGCTAGGCTTTGCTTAATTAATTCCAAGTAGTATCATGATAGGTGATGGTTGGAATTTGTTGATTGGATCGATGTTGGTGAATGATTTGTGATGTGTGAATTATTTATGGTGAATTGGTGATTGGAATTAATTATGTTGGCATGTTGGTTATGAACCACACTTTTATTATTGGCATGTTAGAGAGCATGTTTAATTAAACTAAATGTTTAATTGGGTTTGGAATATGAGAAGGGAATTTTATTATGGTTCATATAATTTTATTAATGCTTTAAGCATGGGAATTGAGCTATTTAAGTGTCTTAGTACACAGGAATAAATTATATTGCGGTGCTTAAATGCACTTAAGCTGTTTCTAACACCAAGGGATAGGATTTGCGACGCATTATGCGTTTAAGGTATCTTTGACACCAAGGTAGATTAAAAATGGTTCAACAATTAAATTTATGTGGTCACTAATTATTCAAGAATTAAATTGGTATGTATGTTTGCTTGAAAGAATTATAATGTTTGATTGTGCTATGGTTTGAGAGTCATCACCAAGTAGAATAATTTGTAAACAACGTAAAGTGAAAGAGATTACACACCAAAACTCTTGGAACGTATATACCTTGAGTATGAACATATGGGTGGAGTTATGGGGTTTTATATTTAACCATGACTTCTACTGAGAACGCTGTATTTTCCTTTTTATTTATCTTATGCGCAGGACGTCCAGTCACTTCATGTGACATTTGCCTACCCGGTTAGCTCCCGGTGTAGTTTACCTCAATTTATTTGAGGCAGAGATTTGGTTGAAAACCCGTTCGATGTGTAATCAAAATTAAATGAACATCGGTATTTGTCTAGTTAGGTGTTGAATGTTTTGTATGCTTGTAAACAGGTGCTACACGGTAAGTTGTGTGATGATAGGATAGAAGCATGTTAGTGTGTTTTTATTATGCTTATGTACTCAGCATTGCTAATTGTGCATTTGTATGTTTGTTTGACCTTGTCTTTACCTTGACCCTACGACGACCCATTTCTAAAGGCGAGTAGTGGGGACAAGTAGTGAGAAGCTTTTCAGGTGATAAAGCATTTTCATGAGGGGCATGAGTGAAGAGCGAATCATGCTTAGTTCTCATAGGAATATGATGTGTTTTATTTGCTTTGAATATTATTTATTGTATTCTGCTCATGAGACTAACACAAAGGGTTTTAATATCGTTTGGTTTTAAGGGCTTACAATGGTTCTGATTTGTAGGTTGACTTAGTTTGACTTTACTTTCGTTTGGTTTGACTTTTAAAGTAGACTTGTTTTAAATGGTTTTTTAAAGATAGTCTTCCGCTGTGTGTGAGTCTTTGATATTTGCCTTAGTCGTTTTCACGGTGGCGGTATATTCTTAGATTTTCCTATTTCTTATTTTAAAAAGGGCAAAATAGGTATTTTAAAGGGAAGGAATTTCTAGGGTATTACACCCAAGTTCTGGGTGGTCTATGTGATAGACTTCATAAAATCACCTACGTGGGTGTGAAGGTTTGGCCACCTTCTATGAAAGACATGAGCGGTCTTTCTAAGGCACTCATGAACATCCCAAGTTCGATGGCCAATATTGGTGGTTGTTTTTATCGCGGAGCTCACAATGTTTAAGGTAAGATATGTGTTATTAGGATTTAACTTTTGAGTTGAGTGAGTTCCAGATTCGTTCACTCACTTAACAAAGGAGTTGCCTGATTTTCACTATGTATAGGTTCAATCATATCGAAAGATACCAGTGCTTAAGTATCAAACCTACTAGAATGCTCAGAATAGGAGGTTTTATTTTTTTAAAAAAAAATCCTTTTTCCCTCGCATTTGTGGGGGATTGTTGGGAATAATATTAAGGAAACAAGCTATGTGTTTTGGAGGAAAACTCTTTGTCCCACATTAATGGGATAAAGTTGGTTTTACTTGTTTTATATATTAGAAGAAAAGAGTTTTGTCCTACATTGGTGGAGGAAGGAAAGTTTTACTTGGTTTTTATATAAGGCTTTAAGGTTAGTTGTTTGAAGTGCTTTCCTTATTGTTGTGAGCTAGAAGGGGGCATCCCCACCCGCGAGCCGTCGTCGCCGTCCGACCAGTTCGTGTTCGTGGCACTTGCGTGGTGTGGTGTGCCTACCTTTTTGGGCCGTGTCATAACTTACAGTCCAGCTTTATGAGACTATTAAGTTACAAAGCTCCCAACAGACGTTTTACTCGTCCAAAAACATTCCCCTGATTTTCCGCCCCCTATCATTACTGCTCCCTGATTTTTCTTCAGCAATTACACCTTTGAAGGTCTTTAAAAACCGAGTTTGCAATCAGTTTTGAAACACAACAAAAAATCTCTTCTTCTTCTTCCTTTAAAAATCAGTTTTTGTCCTGAGCATATTGTGAGTTCCAAATCTCTCTTTTTGAGTGCACATTAAGAGAGATCGATGTGTTAGATCTCGGGGGGCAACGCCATCTCCGATTGCACCATAGTCAGGGCGAATTTTGCTTCTAAGATATTGTTCCTAACACGTCACAGCGTTTTATATACATTAAACAAATTCGGCCCACATTTCAATCTTTATATTTTCTGATTTTATAGTATCTCTACCTACAATATATACATAATTGTATAAATTAATGGGAAACTTGTAATAAGTTGAAATTTATTTAATACTTGTTTCTTTGAGTTTTTATGTACAACATTTGGTTTGAAAACTACAATATTTGGCTTTAAATGTGAAGCATTTGCTATTAAATGCTCAACATTATTTGTCTTTCTAAGAAACTTCGTCAATTAATTCATGATAATGCCCTTAAATATTTAGCAAAATATATTTGGCATTTGGTTTGGATAATGAAAACGGAATGGAAAGGAAACAAATAAGAGGTGGAAAAAGAATCATTTAACTATTATTTTTTTATTTGTTTGGTTTAACCATGGAAAGGAATTAGTTAAAACTTTACTCCCTTTGTTTGCATTTGAGGAGGGTAAGGGTATTTGTTATCCTAAGTTTTTGAGAGGTAACAAATGAGAGGTAAACATTATCGTAAGGTAATGATAATGGTTACCAAACATTCGGTAACGGAAAATCGAATCCGTTTCCAATCTAAAAAATACACTAACCAAAAGTACTAAACATGCTCATTCTATTAAAATACCTTGGGCATATAATTTGTAAAATCTAGACCCTAGATCCACGGGTCTCAAAATTAAAATAACCATCATTAAGTAAAATCAAATTACAACCAAACAATTCGATCAACTCAGGTGGACGATAACTAATTGCTTGATTATGTAGATGTCAAAATTAGATTTCTAGTTAATACAAGTTTGAAAACAAAAAAGTATATTTTCACAAGTCAAACAAATCCATTGGAACATTGATTGTGTTGAGTTGAACAATTTCGAGCAAATTAAATTTAATAGCTGATTAATTGTCATGCATCCGTAATTAAGATTATAGGGACATTTATAGTACTGAGCTGCATTATTAATTGTCTATTTATAGAGATTTTAGACGGTTATGATCTTCACATTTTCCTCGTTCTATAGAGATTGTGGGAGATGATATCATAAAGAGTAAGAAAAAATCTTGAACAAGTATGTGAAGTATTGTGGAGTACGTTTGAAATTCTTAATAATTAAGAAAATAGTTTATATATCTACATTATGGTTTAATATCATTTAGCAAATTTAAATTCATTGATGTTTAATAGAATAATTATAGAGTTTCGTCTATGTAGTAAGTTTTACAAATTCATGTTTTTTTCCCTTATTATAGAGGCAGATTATATTTTAGAGTCATGATTAAATAAAATTTTAAATATAGAACTCAGGTGATTTCTACATCTTGCCTATCTTGTACTTCTTTGTGTAGAAAATAATACTTTGTATCAATTTCTTGATCATTTTCGTATTAAATGATATATGTATAGTTTAGGTTCATGTGAGAACCATTTTAATGGTGAGAACTCCATTACAAAATTGACTCATACTTAATAATCTAATTTGAAACTCGAACTCCAATTAAATTTGTACATCTTGTCCTACATCTACCACAATTGTGGTGGCCAAAAATTTGAGAGAAAGTGGGGATGAAAGTGCCCATATTATATTTTTCATATCTTTATCCATTTGTTTGTTCCAACGAGAACGAGTGATGATCGATTCTCATACTAGGTTATCATTTTCCCCCTTTTAACATTTTCTCACTATTAAAAAACAGCCGTTTTTCGATGGAAAAAATCCGTCGAAATTATTCAAAATTTCGACGGAAATCATCTTTCCTACGGAATTCCGTTGGAAATCATCCTTCTACGAAATTCCGTCGAAATAGTCTGTCGCAAACATTTTGTAGGAAATTCGACTTTTTCCGAGAGATTTTTCGTCGGAAAAGCATATTCCGACGGAATTAAATCTGTCGGCGCATGGATTGACTTAAATTGAGAATCCTTCGCAATATTCAAACGGAATTAATCCTGTCGGTATATACCTCTTTCGACGGAATAATCCGTCGTAATTAAACACGTTCCGACGGAAATATTCCGTTGTAAGGACTGTATCTTTCGAGGGATTAAATTTTCGTCGGAATCTTACGATGCACATTTCCGTCGCAAAGTTCCAACGGATTTATTTTCCCTAGGAAAATATATGATTTCCGACGGCATTGTCCATCTAAAAATCCGTCGAAATGTCCATCTGAAAATCCGTCACCATATTTCGACGGATTATGTTCCCGTCGCAACAAACCTGCTTCCGACGGATAATACCATAAAAAATTCCGTCGGAAGGTCACCTGCTAATTTAACAAATTAGTCAATTTATTTTTGGAATTACCACTATTCGAAACCTATACCTCCTGCACCTAATTCAAGCTAAAATTAATTCATGATTTAATTACAAAAATAAATAAATAAATAAATAAATATAATATAAATATATATATATATATATATATATATATATATATATATATATATATATATATATATATATATATATATATATATATATATATATATAACATAGATTGTGTGCAGGCATAAAACATAATCCAAATTAAGTACATGTACATACTACATAAACAAAAGTTAAGCTATAGCCGGGGTACCCTGCCTACTCCGCCACTACCCAGGTCATCCCTGGGGTCTCGACTCTGAGGTTGAATGGTGGAACATGTGTTGCTGGGAAACGATGCATAAACTCATACTACTTTTTCTGGTCTTTCCTCTCTATTGCGGTCATTTTACTAGTAGAAAAACTTAAATGGGTTCCGTCAAATGCGCACCGATTTTAAAAAAACCGGTGCGAAATAAAATAGGCGGGATTGAGGGAAAGAGTTTTGCACCGATTCTAACCAAATCGGAGCGAAAAACAAAACTTTTCGCACCGGTTTTAACAAAATCGGTGCGAAAAGTGAGTAAATCGTACCAGTTCAGTTCAAACTGGTGCGAAAGCTGCTGTAAAAAAAAAACGGTTATAATGTGAACCAAATGAAGCGTACTCTCTCATCTGCCTCTCTCTCCTCTCTCTCTCCCCCAATTGAAGCGTACTCGACATTCTCCATTGAAGAAGGGGCATCTGAGCTTTCTCTCAGCACTTTCCTCAACCTCCTTCTCTCTCCTTCTCCATAACCGCCACTTTCCCTTTCCTTTCTTCTCTCTTTCGATCTCCTTCTTCTTCTCCATAACCAAGCACAACCACCCTCGCCGCCGCCGTCAATGTGAACCAAATACAACAACAACAACAAACTTGAATCAATTATCGATTCAAAAAACACAAATTCGAGGTATATGCTCTTCGATTTGAAATCTAGATTTTATGGTTTTTTTTTTTTTTTTGATTAATGATGAACAATTGAAATCTAGGGTTGTTTTCTTAAAAGATGGGTATGATGAGAATGGGAATTTGATTCAGAAAGATCCTCAGGTTGTTTCTAATGAGAGGTGATATGGGTTTGCTCAAATGCAGCATCCTGATGAATTGTGTCGCGACAGTATCAGCGAATGATAGTGACGAAAATGTACTTGATCAAGCAAGAAAGATGGGGTAAAATGTTGGAGGATCTTGATGCTCTTCCTGGTACGATTTCTTACAAGGTGATTTTTTTGATGATTTTTGTGGATTGGGGTTTTTCTGTTTGGTGATTTATGTTTCTGGGGTATAATTGGTTTTGTTTGAAGGATTATACTCTGTAATTGATTATTTTTGAAATATCAATTGATTGATCATGCTCATGCTCATTTGTCGAAATCTTAATTCTTTAGCTTGTTTGTGTATTTAGTAGATTGTTGCCTGAAATTTGTCTATTACAATGAGAGTATTGGAAAAGTTTGATTCTCTCGCTATTGTCTAGGAATTTGGGTTAGAGCTATATTTGCCTAGGCTGTTTCACCCTGATGCTATCTTTGTATATGAAGTGAAAGGGAGAAAATACAGTTAACAACATTGTATCTTTTGTATAGTAAGGCTATATACGACGGTGTATCTCTAACCTGCAGAAAGTTTGTGGCCTTATTTAGCATTTAAGGTCACAGCAAAAGCATGCTTGTTTTGGGAAAAAAAATTCAATCAATCAATCAAAGCCTTAATCCCATAAGTGGGGTTTCGGGAAAGAAAATTATAGATAAAATTTCAAAAAGCTTTAATCCCATGAAGGTCTATTTGTTATTGCTTTCGGTTTTTTGAAACTTAAAAATAACATAGTTTCCAATTTTCTGTTGTCAGTTTTCATAATAAACATGAATATAACTATATGAGTATGACATTAAAGCTAGATGATGTATACACAATTAACATCATATAAATTTCTAAATCTTAATATTGAAAGCTGATTGTGATACTGAACAAGCAATCATAGGGGGTAATAATTTGTACATTTGTGCATATAAAAGCTCGGCAATCATAGGGGGTAATAATTTGTACATTTGTGCATGTCACCCCCTTTTCCAGCCTTAAGTAGCAGCCAAATTGGAGTTGCTAGGGTAATAGTGGTGTCCTGTGGCCTAGATTGTTAACTTGCTCACCTTGGCTCTTTGTGTGCAGCAGATGCAGATCTTATATATTACAAAGATCTATAAAAGCATGCAGTGTTTCAAATGATGTATAAGTTATAAGATATGTTCCATTATTGAGAAACTTGTTAAGTTAATGCAAACTCATACAAAGTCTTTTGTTCCTTTCCAAATGCCTAGAAGGAAGCTGGTTGAACGAGCAGTACTGCCCCTTATTCATTAGTTACAAAGATACCGTCAACTGTATTACTGGTTGATTTTGTAGGAAAAATACTTGTCTAATTTTGGCTATAAAACTCTATATCGTTGTAGTTAATAAGTATTGCCTGAGCCAGGCCTATGATGGACAAACTGGTCATTAAGTAATAATTTTATCTCTAGTGCATCAGTGCTGTACACCTATTTTATTTCCAGCATTTAAACTAAGAACTGATGTTTATGAGCATCTGTTGTGTGTATTCTTCTTTCTGGAGAACATACTAGTTCATATTATATGGAGTAATACCACACTTCGTATTGTTTTATGTTATTTGTCTATAGACTAACTTATACTCGGTATAAAGCATTACTCTTCAAACATTATTTTAGAATAACCTGTTCTGAGGATTATATATTTTCATTGCTGGCTGAGTAACAGTATCATAGTTTTCTGTTTGATGTTTTCCAGCACTGCTCCAACCCTGGTGGAATGACAAGGCCGATACTTTTGGTGACTGCTGCTGTAGATAAGATTCTTCTCAAGAAGCCGATTCGCGTTGATGCAGACCTGAGTCTAGTTGGTGCTGTTACATGGGTTGGGAGGTCATCCATGGAGATGCAGCTTGAAGTGTTGCAACCACCACAAGGTAATTTGTTTGCTAAGATTTCAGTAGCTGACATCTTGTGTGATTATGAATAAACTATCTTCGTATTAGAGGTTGGTATAACTAAAGTATCACACAACAGCTAGTAAAGTTAATCATCAGAAATATTTCTCCAGTGATATTCTTCCTCTGTCCCTTTTGTTTGCCTTTTATAGACTGTTATTTTATTTACTATATATCTATTTATGGATGGATGGATTTGATGAGATAGAAAATTGGTGAGATTACATGTAAATCAAGGCAAACAAAACTGTAGATAAGATAGAAGATTCGATGCACCATTAAAGATCTATATTAAACCAAGAAGGTGGTTTCTGATATACCATTAAAGAAAATAGTCAGATGTAGTCATCAATCTTAGTAATAGAAACAAGAGATTGTTAATTGTGGTATTTATCGTAAACTAACCACCTTTTTGACTGAATAACCGGGCTATGAAGTATGAAGAATCGTTTGGATCTTTCTCCACTCTCTCCCAACATTAATTTCTTCTTTTGTAGATGGTTCCCAAATGTCAAATTCAGTGGCTCTTGTAGCTAATTTCACATTTGTTGCGAGGGATGGTTAGACTGGAAAATCATCTCCAATTAATCACTTCTCACCAACAACACAAGAAAAATTGCTGTGGGAGCAAGAAGAAGCAAGGAACAGCAGTAGAAGTGCAGAGAGAATGCAACATAACTGGCAGACAGAAGCAGAGACAAGCTAGCAGCATGCAGCACAGAAACCAGCAGCCTGAACCAGCACACACCAGCCAGAGCCAAAGCAGCCAGAAATAGAAAGCAGTAGCCAGCAACAGCTAAACACACCCTGCAAATAGAAACCAGCAACCAGACACAAAGCAAGCAACACAGCCAACATAAAACAACAGCTTAAACAACAACAAAACACCAGCAGCCTAAACCAGAAGCTACACAGCGACCTGGCTTAAATCAAATGGTATTTCGTTGTGCCCACTGAGCACCTACAAGCAACTCTAAACTCTGGTTTTAAGTTGTAACACATGTTGATTTTAAGTTAGAAAAAGCCAAAACTAAAGATGTTGAAGTGCTGGTTAATTGTAATATTACAGCCTTTTGTAATGAAAATGAAACTTTATATATATGTTAGTGTGTTTATATCCATTTAAGTGAAAAAAATGCAAAAAAAAAACATTTTTTTTTAATTTTTTGGGTACTTTTGGCACCGACTTTGAAACAGAACCGGTGCTAAAAATTTTTTTTTTTAGGCCATTTTTTGCACCGGTTCACTGAATTTAATTCCGCCGGAATTATTGTAAGGGATATTCCGTCGGAAATTTCGAATTTTCCGATGGAATTTGAGGTCCGTCGGAACTATTCCGTCAGAAAATGGCCTTTTTCTAGTAGTGTCTTTTGTTATACAACTAGGTTATCTCCATGTGTTGCACGATTAGAATTAATCTTTTTTGTAACTTATGTTCTGTCTCATTACTTGTATATGAAGGTTAGATTAAATATAAAAATAATTTATATTTAAGGAAAGTAAAAAAAAATTGAAATCACGATCAATCATCAAACAAATTAGGTATGCGAAACTATAAGTTTGTGGAGAAACTTAGTTGATTGAATTTTATATAGACACTTATGCGTTGATGTTAAAAGTGTAGATAAAAAAAAAATCATTAATAATTGATGACATCATGTATAGTATTGGAGGGAAAATTTTTAATTTGAGAATGACACATAGGATAGTTTGAGGATAGATGATGTCAGCAATATTATATTTTAGTAATAGTTAATATGATATACTCATATCTCTATTATATAAGCCAGCTCTAGCATTTTGTTGGAATAAGAAGGTTGTAAAGGAATGGGAGGCAATGAGGAACATAAAGAAATTTAAGTAAAAAAAAAAAAAGAGAGAGCGCACACACTATAATAGAAGGTCTTGTATAAACTCGGTTTGATCTACACTAATTTATATTGTAGACCCAATAATTTGACACTTCCATATAATATAGTCATCTTGTGGATGATTACTTCTTAGATGTTATAATTATCTTGTTGTGAGTCATATTTTGAATGATTAGTCGTATTTTTAATAATTTAGTCATATGATAAAATCATTTTTTCAGGTGATACAATTACCTTTTAGATGATATAATTACCTTTCGAATAATATAATTATACATTTACTTTTTGAATGATATAATTACATTTCAAATAATATACTCACCATGTGGATGATATAATCACCTTTTGGATGATATATTTACCTTTCGAATGTTGTAATAACTTTCAAAATGATATAAGTTGTTAAACGTCGTTCGCATTTTACTAGGTGACGTTCACATTTTTTACATTTTTTACATGAATTTCCTAAATTGGAGGGCGATGATGGGGTTGTGAACTTCCTGTTTTTTTTTTATTTCCCTTGTACGCATTTCGTTTATGTACTATTTATTCGTCACGTACTTTAAGTATTGAACAACTGTTTTGGTGGTTTTCTAAATATTTTGTTTAATTAAGTTCAATTCGTTGCAAATTACATAACGACAACTGTTTAACATAAATGAAAGTACAACAACATGTTCACTATCTAATTAAGGCATCCCACATGTTCCTTCTAGCTTCGTAACGCTGATCCCAACCGTCAACACTTGGGTCGTGGTGCTCGGTCCACCAACCTGCAACCGGGGGAAGTGACAAATCAGGTGCAAGTTCAATACAAATAAAATGTGAGGCCCCAACTGTAGCGATGACAAACTCTCGCTCCGGTGCTGTGACCCCCCTTCTTGCCCGCAACGGCAATATTGTGAGGCATGGGTAGTAGCAAGTTGGTGTTTGGCCTACACCAAGAATAATAACCGCTGCGTTGAACCAAGTCGCAATAGGAAATAAATCTTGTATTGCAACCATCCAATGACGGGAATCAACCGCCCCAGCGTCCCATCAAATACGCTGCACATTGATCTCAAGTCTTCCAAGCCCATAAATCCTCTCATATAGGGCTCGATAACCGAGGACCTCATTCGTTATTGTCTCTCGAGTGTCATACCATCAGCCTTGATCACCGAAGAAGAACTCGGCCACACAACGAAACCCACAGTTCCCATCACCAATGACATCCTTCCATCCTGTGATGTAAGGCAACATCAGCCCTGGAAGCATGTGTCGATAACGGCTTTGGCTAATGTCGTTTACATCTCCTGCACAAATGTAGGTTTCAGTTAATAGTTTAGTGAACGCTGATTTATGTGAAAAACACAACATTCAATCGTACCTGTTTGTCGTGCGCCGCGTTCAGTGTGTTGGCGGTTTACATGTTCAAAATAAGAACGATCACGTCTTGTATCATTGTTTCTTGGTCGACCACGAACCCGGTGGTTTACAGCAGGCTCTCTGAGATCGGAATGATCCGGATGCAGCTCCTCTTCAATGATGCGAGACACGTTTTGAAGAACAGCAGGATCACTATCAAACACCTCTTCCATCAGAGAACGAAAATGTGCGGCATCCTCGGTCGAGTCGTTGCCAGGCACCGTCAGACATCTCCTCTCTGAAGTCATTCCGGCAGTTGTAGATGTGTCTGATGTTTGGATGATCATTAGGAAATTGCTCCGCAATAGTCGCCATGATGTTACGCGGTTCAACCTTAGACTTCGTCATGTCACGCACAACCTGCTTCGCATTCGGGCTCAACCCACTAATTTTACGATGACCCTCTGGATAAGCAATCATTGGATGGTTGTGGGTCCCAGTTACATCATCTTTCGCCCGGATAAACCAAGTATTGGTGACGAACTCGTAACATATCTTGATGTAGAAAGGACAACCAATGCCCTTGGTTTTGGTGTCCTTCCGAATTGCGTTCTCAAGATCTCTCGGCTTACTCCTGCGTCCCCGGTCACATCTTAAATATCGAACTGGTCGACCATCCCTCTGTTTGTTGAAAGACGATTTCACCAAAATAAATCCCAGATTTATTGCAACAGCATCCGCCCATGTAATTGCATCGTCAAACGTTAGAAAAACCGTGTCTGTCACAAAATGTGCACTGTAATTCACAACGTCACCGTCGTCTTCAACCTCTGAATCCTATCAAAATAACAACACAAACAAATAAAACACGCAAGGATTAGTATTTTAAATTTAACAATAATAATAACAATAATAATACAAATAATCATAATAATAATAAAAATAACAATAATAACAATAATAATATTAATAGTATTAATAATAATAATAATAATAATAATAATAATAATAATAATAATAATAACAATAACAATAACAATAACAATAACAATAACAATAACAATAATAATACTAATGATAATAATAATAACAATAATAATACTAATGATAATAATAATAACAATAACAATAATAATACTAATAACAATAACAACAATAACTATGTAACATTAACATATAATAACTAATATAATAATAATAACAACAATAGTAATAATAATAGTAGTAATAATATTAATAATAATCATAATCATAACAAAAATTTACATTAACAAAACTAATATTAATAACCATAATAATAATAACAATAACAATAACAATTACGTAAGAAAAAAAAAACAAAAAAACAAAAAAAAAAGGGACATCCGCCTTTTTTTTCCGGAAACCTGGGGGAGATCCGCCCAAAATTTCCGGATGTCCCCACATACATCCGGAAATTTCAGGCGGATGTACCCATCCGGATACTTACAGATTCTTCCGTCGAATCCTCCGACGTGTGAACGTTGTCGTCGTCCATCGTAAAACACCGCTCCGTACACTTTTCTTTTCTGCCCCGGGATTTTCAAATTCCTCGGGATTATCGTACAATGGTGGAACCAGGATTTTTTAATGCTCGGGATTTTTTTAACACAAGTGGTGGGCTCGGTAATGTTTTTAATGTTGTCGGTAACTAAATTTACCCATGGTGGACCCTTAAATAGATAAAATACCCACAAGGGCAAAAAAGTCATTTCGATTAAAAATGTGAACGTCACCCAGTAATTTGCAAACGACGAATAGCGATTCAGTTACCTTTTGATTTCGAGGAATATGATTACTTTTTACGCTTTATGTAACCACTTTTCGTGTCATAGTAAAGGAGAGAGAGTAGTTTGGAAATGAAAGATAGTTACAATTCAATCTTATAACAGGTGAATTTTTTACAAAAATAAATGGGTGCACAATAAGTTATTATACAACGGGTCTATTCTAAAAGTTTTAGATGATGAGATCATCAATTTGTCATAGTCATTATCTTACAAATTACAATTGTGGACCAATGATGTATTGGATTATAGATATAGTCTTGTCCTACGTTCACTACAATTGTGGTGGAGGAATTTCGAATCACATACACGGTCTTTTATTCCTTCATTTTTTTTTTATTGATGATTCTCACTTCAAGGTGAGAAAATAAAAGTTTTATCACCATGATATACAAATTTTATTTATTGGAAATTGAAAATAATTCAACAACTTTTTTAAAATATGGATTTTATAGATGTAAATATATTTATGAAAATGTCATACTGCCTAGATATTTTATTGATTTATTTACGATAATTCGTTTATCAAGGTGATAAAATAAACAAGGACTTCCTCCAATTTGAGACTGTAACCCTGGCCTGTGTCTAATGTTTACTTATTATATTTTTAATTAAACTACTTTGATAACATATCTTTAATGTATTACTTACTCCGTTCCAATATTATCGCAACAGTTGGACTTTTGCACTATTCGTCACTCTTGTTTGACCATATAATATGATTTATACATTAATCAAAATATAATCATGTGGGATCTTGTTAAATTCGTCTCATAAAAAATTTCACTCTATCAACTTTTTATAAATTTTTACTCTTATACAATTATAGATATTTAACATATAAAATGTGCTTTGGGATGCGTAATTACTCTCCTTCTCCTTGTCCTCTCTCCTTCTCCTAAAATAATACAAATGAATCTTATAACGGGTGAAATTATATGAAAAAGTTTCACTCCAAATTACTACTTCCTCCGTTTCTTTTTAGATGACATCTTTCTTTAGTCACGTTTGCCAATGCACAAATTCAATCATTAATATTTTTAATTATTGACAAGTAAAA